GTTTCCATGCATCTTTTGATTTTCACCTCGTCTTTCTCCAGAGTTGCACCTTAAATGGCTACTCGTGCGCTTTTAAGGCCCTAGTGACTACTCATCAAAGTAAGGTGGATAACATTGTCTTTGTAAAGTACTGAAATGTCAACTGATCTTGGTGTCCCCAAGAGTATGGTCCTGAGCTCCTGGGCCCTGTAACTCATTCCGTCAAGGTGTCTGATTATGTCTAATAGGGTTTCATCACAGTCCCCTGTATGCTCCTCCACATTTTTCCACTGATGGGTATAGTACTTTCCTTCTTTGTGCTCCTGTGAACAGTGCTGTGATGAACATGGGTACACATCAATCAATCTATGTCCAGGCCTTCATTCCTCTTGGATAAGACAGTAGAAGGATTGACAGGTTGTAAAGCATCGCTATTTCAACTTTCTGAGGAGGCACCATACCACTTCCCACAGGTCGCGCTGGTCCCCAGCACTACGCTCCAGTCTTTCTGAACCCTTGCTGGCAGTTGCCATGCACTGCTCTTTTCAACTTGGCTGTGGGTGCCGGCATAAGATGGTCTCTCACCAGTGTCTTCAGTGGAATCTCACAAATGGCATCTCTTCCTGCTTGTTGGTGACCTGAATGTCCTCTTTAGTGAAGTGTCTGTTCCCGTCCTCTGACCATTTGTCTTTGATTGTCCAGGTGCTGAAGCTTTCTGTTACGTTTACAGCCTTGTGCCCTGTCGGATATGTCATTGCCAAACACTTTTAGCTAGTCCTTGGGTTCTCTTGTTACTCTTTTGGAGAAACCTTTTGATGAGCCTAAGTGTCCAATTTTTAGGTGGTCCCAGTCATCTAGTTTGTCTTCTGCTGTTTGTTTTTCCTTATGTTGGACAGTGTATTTATACCACACATTAGGGCGCCTGTGTTTCTCCCTACTTTGTCTGTGATGGTCTGCAGAGTTCCAGGTTGTACAGCTGGGTGTCGGATCCATTTAGAGTTCTTCTTGTATATGGTAGGAGACACGGGTCCTGTCCGTCCTGCTGAGAGGTCTCCACTGCAACCCTGTCCTTGGTTTCCTTTGCAGTCTCCATCCACCACGTTTTTTCTTCAGTTCAATCATTTAATAACAAAACTGATTTTAGAAAATTCTGAAGTGCAAACCACATCTAAAGACCCAGGAAGTTACATACATTTGCATTACCCAATACTAATTGCCAGACTACAGGTTCTTTTCCTCTAGTTCCTCAGCTCACTGCCAGTTTAACCTAGGACCCCATCGCTCTCTCTCTTCCTCCTTCAGACACGACTAGTGCTAATTAACTATACCTCTGGACCATGAGGTCAACTCTCCATTTCAGATTCACATAATACTCTTTCTCCACGACATGGGAATCCTGACTCTGCTAAGTCCCTGGACTCATAGTTAGTAACAGAAATAGCCTAAACCAGCTTTCCCCTTTCCTTGGCAAAAGAGCCCCTAAACCACCTACCTAAAGGTGTCCCCGCTTTTCGGGCGATCTGCTTCCTTCAGCTCTGACTCAATCAGGCCCGTGCTAGGCTCTTCATACATCTAACGCGACCCCCTCTCTTTTTGTGTCCTGCCCTTTCTTGTCATCTCTAGTGCCCATCACAGGCTCAGACTACTCTGGCTGGGCTCTTCTTTCTCCCCAAATTAAATCTCTCTATCAAAGAAATGGTAAATGACTCCCAGAATGTCCTCTACTGAGATAAAAAAGAGCACTATTAAAATTGCACTGCCTTTGGAGATCAAAATGCAAAGAACAGTAGGCCTTAACACGGACTTACTTATCAAATTTCAGGACAAGGAAAGGAAGTCAGTAAAGGAAAGCTTCGGGCCTTAAAGAATTCTGACAGGCACTGGTCAGAGGCAAAGCACTCCAGACTAAGGGTAAAAAAGAGACAGTCTGACATGATTTTGATATGAAGAAACTGTTAGCTTGAGATGTGATGATGGCTTCTGCTTTAAAGATTATCTTTTTGACAGTAACTACAAAAATACTTCAAGATATTAACAGGCTATCTAGAAGTAGTTTCAAAATAATCAACTGTGTGTGTAAGGTGGAAGGTGAAACAAAATGGCACCTGTGAATCGGTGTGAACGCCCACATGGGATTCACGACACTCTTCCTTCTCTTTGTCTACATCTCACTTACAGAGAATGGGGGGAGGGGCAGACCCGGCTCATTAGAATGAGGGAGACTCATGGATGACCAGTGGTGCTGTTGGGTAAATATAGGATTGTTAACAAGATCATGGTCCACATCCATCCCCTGCTCGGCAGGGCAAAGAGGAGGCTGTCTCAGAATCCCTATCTAGGGTTGCTGGGTCAGAATCAGGGGGTAAAGTAGGGCAAGAAGACAAAAGATGACTTATAGTTAAGGATTATGGTTCTCTATATAATAAGGGAAGGCTATCTTGAATGCACCAGGGCTTGGTAGCATAGCTTCGAACCAAAAGGTTGGCAGTTCACATCTCTGGCCACTCAACAGGAAAAATATGTCCCAGTCTGCTCCTGTCAAGACTGTTAGGTGCCTTGGAAACCCCACTTCTACTCTGTCCAAGAAGGTGACTATGAATCAGAATCAACTCAAACAGTGGGTGGGGTTGGGTTTTGGCATCTTCAGTAGATAAAGAATTTTTACAACTCAATAAGAAGAAGACCACCTACCCCATGTAAAAATGGGTAAAGGATTTGAATAAACATTTTCCCAAAGAAGACATACAAATTAACTACTGAGTACATGAAAGAATATTCAACAGCACTGGCCATCAGGAAAATGCCAATCAAATCCACAATTGAAAACCACATCTGAGGATGGTTAGAATTTTAAAAGTCAGGCAATAAAAAGTACTGGTGAGAATGTTGAGATACTGGAATGCCCCCATAGTGTCAAATTTTTACCTTCAAGAAAAATAGTAAATAGTCACAGAGCATGATTCACAAGTGACAAGTGGAAACAACCCAAATGTTAATCAATAAATGAATGGAAGGACTGAAGTAATGACATAAGACTAAACTATGGAGGAAGCTTGGAAACACACTAAGTAAGAGAAGTCATGTGAAAGACTGCATATTTTATGGTCCCATTTACATGTGTGTCCAGGATAGGTAAGTCTAGAGAGAGCAAACACGTGCTTGCCGAGGGCTGAGTGTGGCTGTGGTAGGGAACAAGGAATGATGCCGATGGTATGGAGCTAGTCATGAAACTGTTCAAAACTTAAAAGTCACACTGATGACAATACAACTCTGCGAACACGTGAAAGCCACTGAATTGCACCCTTTAATGGAGTGCATGCTATATGAACAAAGATGTTGCTGTTAAGAGGTTTGTCACTCGTGAAATATGTTCTAAATAAAATAAATCTCTTAACAGAATGGTTGGGGTTCTCTAAGTGATTAAGGAAAACGAAATGGGAAATGTCATTATTTAGGGGTCTTGAAGAGTGATTATCACTGACAGTAACTGGTGTAATTCAATGGAATGTCAGTTCATTAATTTAGTATTTCAGTGTACTTCAACAAATACAAGTATCTGTTATTTTATTCTCAAGCAGAGATGAAAGTTTTGGTAGATCTGAAATGAAACCTATACATATTACTTATTATGAGCCTCTCCCTAAACCTTGCTGATCATCAGGATTAGCACAAGAGCTTTAAGAGCAGCTCTCTGGGTTGCACTCCAAGAGATTCTTCTCATCATTAAACCTGGGGTACACAATGGAATCTGATTGATGATTTAGCACTTGGTATCATCTGTGTAAGTTTTCTCTCTACTAACATCGAAACCAGGGGTCCTCAAACTTTTTAAACAGGGGGCCAGTTCACTATGCCTCAGACCCATTGGAGGGCCGGACTATAGTTTAAAAAAAAAACTATGAGCAAATTCCTATGCACACTGCACATATCTTATTTTGATATGTGAAAAACAAAACGGGGCAAAAACACCCGGCTGGCCAGATAAATGTCCTCATGGCCCGCGGGCCGTAGTTTGAGGACCCCTGATCTAAACATTACACACTTTTCTATTTCCCTCACAAAGGCTCAAAGCTGACTTTAGTAACTGCAAAGAACTTTAAAACTCGTGATAGAATCTAATGTCATGTGAAATAAGGTTGGTTACCCTGAAATCCACACTGGAGAAAACCTTTTAGTCCTATTGCTGCTTCCTTACACCTTCAGAAACCGAAGGGCTTTTTGTTTTCATGCTACCCATAAGGGTTTTGACCCTAAATGAGCAGCTACTCAAGTCAAGTTCACAGCTCCACAAATCTACTCTCGCTGATGTCTTTCCCCCTCAAATTTTCACCAAAAAAATTAAGAAACCTTGATGCAATATACCCTGTCCCACTACTAAGATCCAACTTGAGGACTAGGTTCCCAGCCAAACCAGTCCTTTACCGGCATTCCCTCCTGTGTTTTCCCTGGTGCTACTGGGAAGGGAAAGCTTCGGCCTGTCACCACAGAGAGGGCTCACATGCCAGAAGAGCGCATTCCTGTCTGTACCTTTGTGCCTCTTGCTCTTCTTTTTTCTGGAGACTGTTCTCTCATATATGCTCTCCTCCTGGGCATCCATCTCATCGCTGCTGTTGATGATGTCACAGGGCTCGCCAGTCCCAGAGAGAGCTTCCTCCGCAGGAACCTGGGAGGCTTCCAAGCCACACAGAGATTTTACTAGAATAAAATAAGAGGGGGTGGGGGGGCAGGGAGAGAATGAGATGTCGGACAGTCTTGTACAGCAATGCAAGCATCTCTCCATCAAGGCCAGGGGTGGACAGCAGGAAGGTCTGCTCAACTTCCCTAGAGAACGCTGGGATGCTATCAGCAGGTATACAGGCCAGGAAGGCATTTTGGATACAAAACACTGAAAAGCCACCAGCAACCTGACTCCAAAAATGCAGAAACGGACTCCTTAAAAGAGACTATTTCAGACCTGAAGGAAGAGCGGGCATGCCATTCTTCCTCTCCAAGCTCGGCAGGATTAAAGACAGAAGGTGAATTTTCTTCTCATTCACATAACTCCTGAGGTGTGGTGTTGGCGACAGGGAGGAAGGACTCCTGGTCCTGGGCTAGAAAGGACGGGTTCACAAAAACCCAGAGCTCTACAGGGAAACCAGCTGGAAACATGACCGCATAAGCAATACCGGAAAAGGAAAGTAATATCCTAAGGCTATTAGACATGGAAGCAAACCACAGAGTCAGATGAAACTATACCAGAACTACAGGAATGGATTAATCCTCCAGAAGAAAGCCGAAGCCAAAAGACATGATTCCTGCTACTGACCGTGCTACTCTGGGCTCAGCTCTCCACTAACTGCGTGTGTAAACACTGGGAGCAAACATGTTTATGGGAAGATGCCCGGAGGATGGCAAGAAAAGCACTGAGTCAGGATCCCAGGGAAATGAACCACGGATTGGTCTTCCCTGGCCTGACGCTGAGACACCTGCCCAGCAACGCCTACCTTCCTGCTGAACGGCATTGGCGACGGCTTTCTTGACCCGTCCAGACTTCACGACGGCCGGATCCGAGTTGGCATAATCCGCCACGGTCACTGAAACAATGCACCAACCCTCAGTTATGTGCCCTACCAAGACCTCCCCACCCGAGACGCCCCGCTGACCACAGCACCTCGGCGCGGCCCAGCCCCTTCCCGGCCGCTAACCCCCGAGCCTCCCGGTGCCCCCGCCCTCTCGCCCACCTCGGCCCGAGCAGGCGTCGTGGGCCCGAAACTTGAGTCGCTTCCCTCTCTTGGGCATGGCGACCGCGTCGGGGCGAGGCCGGCCTAGCGGGCCCGGACCCCGGGCCATGTCTCAGGACGGAGGGCCGGCCCCAGGAGCCGCGGGCCAGCTCCGCCCCGCTCCACGGCCATCCCGCACGCCGAGGCGGCTGCTCTCGCGAGAACTTGAGCGAGTCGCGTTGCTGTTGACGCCACTCTTCGGAAGCCAATCAGCACTTGGGCCAAAGTGCACGTCATCAGGCGGCGCCCGCCGGGTTCCGTTGGCGCGCGATCCTGTTTACGGGTCGGTTGTCGCGGCGTCTCTGGTCGAACGATTGGTGTCTCCACTGCAGAACGTACAGCCGCTTGAATCAAAACTGAGAGATCACATCCTTACGCCCCCCGTTCTCCCCACCTCCGCTCTGCCCACGTAAGCACCCAGAGGCGCAAACATTGTCGTCGTCGTGTTTGCTGTGTGCCAGGCCCTGTGCAGCGGTGATCCCGACACTGCCCTTGTCCGGTCCTGAGGGCGCTCCGTCGAATAGGAGAGTCTAGTAAACACGGGTTTAAGATAGGCTGCTCATGATTTCAGAAACGGGGAAAGGTGCACATATCTTGACTAGGGGAGTAGAAGGTTTGGTCAACGGGGCTGGTTCAGTCAGTGAGGAGAAAAGGCATGCTAGTGCAGAATTCATCTAGGACCTTAAGTGATCTGCCGGACCTTAGGTTTGAGCATGGCGGAGCTACGGTTAGAGGCATATTGGTATGGTGGTTCAGGGAAAATTGGAAAACCAGGTAGTGAACAAATTGTTCATGGCCTAAAATGAGAACTTGTCCAATAGGTGTTGGGGACCCATGGAATCTTCCTGAGGCTATAGAGGCACCATTTTTTGAGAGAGCAATAAGGAAGGAAAACATGGAGACGAGATACGTTGGCTGATATAGACCTGTTCTAAGAAGGGACAATAGAAAGGATGGGGGCGGGGGCGGGGCCGAATAGGGAGCTGAAAGCATTGATGACTATATAACCCCACTCAATGGAATTGAACAACAGAATTGTATGTGAATGGATATATTGGCTGCGTAAGAAATGGCAATATAGATACACACCCAAAAAAAGCCGGATTTTTTTCAAAGCTATGTATTAAATTTTTTTTTTTAAAAACCTTACCACCTTCAAAGTACTCTCCATTATACTTAATACATTTATCAAATCTGCAATTCCATTCTTGGAGACATTTTCCAAATTAATCTGTTTGGATGACTCAGATCACCTCCCTTGTTTTGCTTTGTTTTCTCACTTCTATGTCATCAAATTTCATGTCTCTCGTCATTCACAGAAACGAAAAGAAGTTGCATGGAGTGGGGTCAGGTGAGTAAGGTGCCTGGGGCGCAAGAGAGGCATGCTGTTTGGGGCCAAAAACTGGCACATAGGGATGGCTATGTGAGCAGGTGCACTGGCGTGGTGGCAAAACCAGTCCCCCTGTCTGCCACGAATCAGGCCTTTTTTGTTGCACACTGTTACACAATCTTTCAGGGCCTCTAGCTTGATTAACAGTCTGGTCTGATGGAACAAACTCCAAATGCACTATGAGTTGATGTTATTTCATCCATTCAGGGAGTTGAAGGACTCCAGAATGAGATTTGTCATCAATCAACATTTCACAAGTTTTTCCCATCCATATCAGTTTTCTGCAGCGTTTTTCCCCCCAGCATGAACCAAAATTTCACAGGCACACACTGTGCTCTTAAATCAGCCATCACAAAAAACGAGATTCAAGTGAAACTGCTTTTACAAAAAAAATTCACTTTGACCAGAGAGAACCTTTCCAGGCAATGCCACAGGGTGTATTAACTCAGAGCAAGTTACTCGATACTCGCCTAGCTGGGAAAATGCATGCTATGAAAGCTCTTCTCCACACAGTGCAACTCCGGTTTGGGTGGGGCACCCCCTCATAATATAAGGGCTCCTGGGGGTATGGTGAGAGGGGCGTGGATAAAGGGGAGCAGATATCAAGGAGTTCAAGAAGAAAGAAAATGTTTTGGAACCGATTGTGGTATCAGTTGTACAATACTGCTTGATGAATGTTATAGCTGTAAGGGTTCCCAATAAAATGATTAAAAATTAAAGGATGTACAGAATATAATAGAAAGATGAAGAAGAATCAACAAAACGTGGTCATCGGAAAGGAGGCACAAAAATGAGAAGGCATCAAAAAGATCCTCATGCTCCAGCCAGAAAAGTCAGGAGTAGTAGACATGTTTGGGAAGGTAGAAATGACCAATGGAAGGATAGGAGAATTATCTGGTCTAGGTATTGCTTAAGCTGTCAGAGTAAATGAGATTTCCAAGTCAATTAATGTACTCAGTAATTTTTTAATTGATCATTTAACCCTAAACCAAACCAAACTCACTGCCATCAAATTGATGCCAATCCAAAGCAACCTTGTAAGGCAGGGTAGAATGGCCCCTTTGCATTTCCAAGATGGTAACTCTACCGGAGTAGAAAGCCCCACAGTGGCTAGTGGTTTCAAACAGCTGACCTTATGGTTAGCAGCCCAATGTGTAACCACTATGACACCAGGGCTCCCCTGAATACTTAATACAGTAAAAAGGAGTAAAGCTACCAGCCTAACTGTCCCACCCACATTTGGAGAGAGAAAAATTCATCAAGGAAACAAAGCAGCCTGCATTGGTTATTTGTAATGAAACAAAAATTTCCCCAAATGGAGCAGTTGCAAATAGTTTATTGTTTCATCATTTTTGTGCATTAAGAATTCAGGAAAGGCTTCTGTGAAAGGTTTTGGCAACATCTCTCAGGAGGCTGTAATCATAATTGGCTGGGGGGTTAGTCTTCTCAGAGCTAGACTGGGGAGTACCTGCTTCCAAACTCAGCTGTATCCAACAAATCTACCATCAAGTTGACTCTGACCCACAGTGACAGCTGTTCCATGGCTTTTGGTCAGAGATATGTGGGTCTTTCTTTAAACTGCTGAGTGTCCTGACACAGCAGCTGGCTTTCCCCAGAACCAGCTGTCAAGGAAGTGAGAAAGTAACGCCCAAGACAGAGTCACAATACTTTTATAACCTAATCTTAAAAGGTAGCATCCCATTACCTCTGCTGTTGTGTATTCATGCACACTTAGTGCAAGGGGATTACTCATGAGGGTGGATGTGTGACTAACTAGAGGTGAGTTTTTAGAGGCCACCTTATAGGCTGTGGCCATATTGCCTAAAACGTTGTAAGGAGGGGCTTGTCAGAAGTGCTACCAAACCCTAGAGAAGAGAGATTCAAGGAGGAAGTGATCACATGGCTCAATCATACAGGCCAAAGACACTGGGAAAGGGTGACTGGTGAAGATTCAATGGGAGTAGAAACCACATTACAGTGGATTTAAGAGTATCTGGGAGGTGAGGAAAAGGGGAGGGGGATGCATAGAGAAATTCTTTTTCAATCTATCAAAACATTTCCACAAGGATCTGGCCCTTTTAGCCCCAATAGTCTGTAAGTCTTCATTCTTTTTTCTTATACAACAGCTATAAATTCCTAATTTCTCCAAAGAGGAGGAGGGGGTCCTTGAAGGTTTTTCAAGGACCTACTACCATGTCCAAAGCAAAGTATTAGAGGGATTCCTGTACAAGAACACCGTCTTCAGTTTGGGTAAGAGAGATGAGCCCCCGAAAGGGAGCAAGCCTCTGGACTAGTACTACCAGTATGAATAGAAGTCATTTGGTGTCCTGAGAACCCCTCTTAATCCTTCCAACTTCCTTGCAGCTCTCAAATAATAATATCCCCAAACTTGAGGGAAAATGGGTCTTAAGTCCAGGTATCCAATCTGCTTGTTCCACCAGGAAATGCTGATGAGATATTTAGATGGTAACTTTTTTTTTCAATAGCTAGCACCCAGAAAGTCATTGAAAGCAAACCACTTATAGCCTACTAACATTTTGTAACAGGCTCTCGTCAGGGCTTAATACCATTACTTAATAGACTTTAATCAATGAGGAATTATTGTTGGTGCTGAATGTAATTGATTATTATCATGAACTATTCCCATTTAATTTATCTAAAATTACAATAGAAAACAAAGCTGTGATGGGCTGCTAACCTAAAGAAAATAGTTTCAAATCTATTTTCCATGTATAAATAATTCATGTTTGTGGTCGAGTCTCAAATGCAGATGGGAAGTGTTTGGTCTTCTCATTTCACAATGCTCTCCATAACAAATTAATGAGGCTCACGCACAGGGAGACGCACCTTTCTGAGGCACTTAAGGCATCAGGCGCTGAGCGAAGTCGAAAGTGCAAGGGTGTGTGGTCAGGTGCAGTTGCGCTGATGCTGAAGCCCAGCAACCCTAGTTGGGGGGCGGGGGTGGGGGGCACAGAACTGCTCTTGGGAAATGGTGGTGCCTGTGACTGCTTTTCTTCTTCTTCTTCTTCTTCTTCTCATGACACTGGGTTTTAATGGCTCTCAAAATTCTGTGACAAATTTTTGGTCAAGTTGTTTTCTGTTTTAAAAGTACTGACTTTAAAAACTAGTAGCTTTTGGGGGGGGGCGGGGAAGAACCTAATCTCACGATAGTTTTTCTTTATTTTTGTTATGTTACCTGTATTTATTAGAGCATTTTAGTATTAGGACCTTTTATTAAAAAGGTTTATTTGGACATTTGGCCATTGAGCTGGTTTTTGGCTTCCTACAAATATGAGTTGTAGATTTTGGCTTTCTTTGGGGATGTCCGTTAACTTCCATACATTATGCTATACTGTGAACATATTATTTTGTTACCTAATAAATCGGTGAACGAACATGCAAGAAAACCAAAAAACTAGTAACTTAAAACTGCCACTCAAAGACGGGCACAAAACATTCCTTCCGAACGTTTTACTGTGTATCGTTACCAGTAAGCAGTCTTTTCCCATGAGACCGTTCGTCCACCCCGATACAGACTGGGTGGCAGGTGGGATGGGTAATATGCCCTGAGACTTCTGACAGTCTTGTTGCCCTTGCCAGCCCCAGCAACCTTCATGACCCTGCAGCAACTGCCTGTCTCTTATGACCCAGATAAGGTTAGTCTGTCAGAGAAGCGCTCCACTCCCGCGGCGTGCTAGAAACCACGTCGAC